TTTTTAACTTTAATTTTTCTCTTTTTTTCAACGTAGCCAAAGATATAAAGGGTTTCCTCACATTAGTGTCCACCATATATGGGCGGAGCCGAACGGGCGGAGAGCACTGGTGCTAAAACGGTGTTGTAGTTTTTATTCACGCAAATATTTTTCGCTCCCATTGACACAATTTAGACCATATTATTACAAGAGTTTGAGTTTGAGTAAAGAGAAGCACATCGAAATAAAAACGGTCATTTAGTGCACAGAAGAAGCAAGACATGTAGACAGAAACAACAGAGGGAAAGAAAGAAGTAGGACTTACCACTGGCGCCCTTCAACCACCGGCAAACAACTTCGGGAGACCATATACGAGTATGGATGCTTTGACATTGCATGTTCGATTTTTAAAAAACAAAAAAACTTCCCAATTCGGGAATCGAACTCACTACAGTACAGACACCGGCGTACAGGAACGTCCAGAGTGACATCCACCAAGCTATACAAAGATTCTGTTGTCTCGGAACTGTCAACTACCCCCGATTTACAGCAGGCCCAAACAACGGTTAATTTATGGTCATCGCATCTTTGTCATTTAAAAAAAAAATTGCAGTCAAAGGCAGGCTCGATTAGACATTTATTCAACGTCATGTTCTCCCTCTGAATACTGGCAGCAAAATCGAGGAATAATGTTCTAAGAACCAAGCCAAAATTTATTTTGTTAACATTCGGACCCCATTTGGACTTAGAACCCTAACCTTTTAGCGTGTTCGCCACGTTCATGAACCAACTGTGCCACTACAGTCCGGTGTCTACCGTAACAGAACAGAGCTGGAAAAAGGAAAGAGGCCGCAATGGCAATAAAGCGTGTACGTCGGTGTCTATGACCAGCAGAACAAAGCTAGCAATTTAGGATCAAACTGAATTCAAGAACGAAGGCGTTTTCTGTTTCCAATTGTGGGGGTGAGCTTTAGGCCTCTTCGAAATGACAGATAACAATGCTTTGGGTTGTTTTGTTTTGGGGGGTCCGTGTAAGGTGGGCAGTACACGCAATCTTGTGGCATTGTGATTTTTGTATTTGTATAGACGTAAGAAGTAGTCTCGATCTAAGAACGCTGTCGTCAATTCTGTTCAGTTCCGTTGAGCAAAGTGTTTATACTTTTTTTAGAGCTGTATCTTATTCTCTCTCAGTCTCAGTGTTCACAACGTTAGAGACTGATAGGAAATGTAACAGCTTTACACCGCCATTCAAAAAGCATACATCATTTAGGAGGCAGGTTCCCTCGACCCTCATCTATCATGACTAATCTGGGCCGTACAGATACACCTCAAAGGAAGGATGGAGAAGCTCGATAAAATAATATCCTCGAGTCGGAATTGAATACATGCACGTCATCGATGGGAAAGGCGAATAACCTACCCATTGCACAATAGATGTCGGCAAGGATTTAGACAACGCTGCGAGTATTCTTGTTATGTTCGTGGAAGTAGTGTTTATGGCAGTGCACTTGTTTTGATTCGTTACGACGAGAAGTCTACAACTTCAGAGACCGATCCCGATGAAGTTTTTAAGTACGTCATCAAACCAAGCGACTAAAGCCATTGCAAAGTCCCCATTACACTTTATCATTATGTCATTTTTAATTCTGTGCCGTGGGTCGCATGGCATGTCACAAGTTTACCCACCAGAGACAATCACTCTGCCCAAATATATGTTAAGAATGTCGACGACTAGTTAAGTGTTTATTCAAGAGAGGTGAATGACCTCAAAAAGCAA